GAGAAAATTATATTGGCCTGTCAAAATAATGAACCAATCGGGTCGTATGAAGTGGGTGAATCTGCACGAAGACGAGCCAACGGTCCGAACTTTTGTTAAAGAAACCATGGCGAATGAACAATTAAACCAAACGACTCTTGTTACAAAAAACATTTAAATTGTTCTGCGTAATTTAAATAAAATCAAACACATTATGCTCTAAGAAGTAGACCACATTAACTTTGTAAACGTCTCGAAGAAATAAATGTATTTTAAGACTGAATTCTTGTGTAAACTTTTGGCTGCAAAGCGCTCCTGTCTTGTCTAAATTGCTTTCTCTCTTCCCGCACGGATAACCCGCGACGCCCGCGCAATGAATATCCTAATCTACCCGTATTTATCCACACAGTAGAAAAATGCAAATCTCTGATAAAAGTTAATCCTTTAATTAGTGTCACCCTAACAACACATAGCAACCGGTGTGCTTTAATATAGCTTAAATTTATTAACCTTATCCGAGTTTTAGTACTTTAAAAAACTAGCAATAAAATATAGAAATCGCTTGACAATTATATATCATAACCTCTAATTTCCATGTGTTTATATAACTCTAAACAGCAACATATTCTCTCGTATATAGACCTCATATGGCAGACCGGGATTTAAATATTAGTTTAATTGTAGATACATAATAACTCTTACCGCATGCTATTTCTCAGCGTTTTGACGCTTGATAATATTTATATATTACTTAACAACAAAACATATAGCTGTATACCCCGAATATATAAGTTTTAGATATATAACACTAATGCTATTTCATATAGTATCAGATTTCTTACTCCTCTAGGAGCTAAATTAAAGGAATCACTTTGACAATAACAGCAAAATGCTAGAGCTGTACTTATAAAACTCCAGACAACAACATATTCTCTTGTATATAACCCTAACTATTGTGTCATACACGTGGGGGACGCTAAAAAATGCGTAGTCAGCAAGTTTCGGGATTAGGAACTGTTTAGTTTAAAATATCTCTTGGTTTTTGTGACGAATAAATTCCTCTCTATGGAACATACGAAAAATCCTTCAAATACTCGTGGAAATTTATCTCTTCCGAGCAAAGATACGGCTATAACTCTGCTATATATTAATAATATTGACCTTAACAACGACGTTGACAACCTGGGATTAGCAACTGTTTAGTTCTGTTTAAAATATGTCTTGATTTTTGTGACGAATAGATTTCTCGCTTAAATTTTGTAAACATACGGAAAATCCTTCAATATACTCGTGGAAATTTATCTCTTCCTAGCAAAGATACGGCTATAACACTGCTATATATTAATTTCGATAACAATTTTGCCTTGTGAGGACTGGAGCTATTCATAGCAAACCAACATTAATCCCTCTAATTGTACCATACACGTGGGGAGGATGCTAAAAAATGCGTGGTCAGCAAGTTTCAACCGATCGTGTTTAAGCTCGCCCGCGTGACGTCATTGTATATAATTATGACGTATGTTAATGAGTGACGTCATTACTCCTCTTCAATTGTACGAGTATTAATTATAAATGAGGAGGTCACCCACTACCTCAAACTCCACCACCTCACATCACCTCATCCACCACCTCAAACTCCACCACCTCACACCACCACCTCAAAAATGGGGGTTGAACGGCCTCTATATTACTACTGATGGATCCAATGGATCCGATGATGGATCCAATGGATTTTAGTTATATAAAAAAATGGATCCGATGGATTTTAGTTATATAAAAAAAAATGGATCCGATGGATCTGATGGATCCGATGGATCCAATGGATCTTAGTTATATAAAAAAAAATGGATCCGATGGATACATTGGATTTTAGTTATATAAAAAAATGGATCCGATGGATATATTCGATCCATCAGATCCATCGGATCCATTTTTTTTTATATAACTAAAATCCAATGTATCCATCAGATCCATCGGACCATTTTTTTTTATATAACTAAAATCCATTGGATCCATCGGATCCATTTTTTTATATAACTAAAATCCAATGGATCCATCGGATCCATTTTTTTTTATATAACTAAAATCCAATGTATCCATTGGATCCAATCATCCATTTTTTTTTACTCTACTCTACTCTAAAAAACTAGATACTTATCCGATGTAAGTCAAGTCAGTAAGTCAGTAAGTAAAGTTAGTAAGTAAAGTTAGTAAGTCAAGTTTTACTTACTAACTCAAGTCAAGTAAGTAAGTAAATTTAGTAACTAACTTTTTATTATTACTAAAAATCGAAAAAGTAGCTAAAAATGGACGAAAAGTTCAAGACTTTTTTGCCAATTTTAACCACTTTTTCAAAAATTATATAAGTGGGCAAAAATGGACGAAAACTTAAGGCTATTATAGCCTTACTTTTTTGTCATTTTTGGCCACTTTTTCAAAAATGATATAAGTGGCCAAAAATGGACGAAAAGTTAAGGCTATAGCCTTAACAAAAATCCTAAATCATGCCTACTAAAAACTTATTCAAATTCCTATTGTACCATACAGTTGTATTAAATACATATAATCTATACATTATTATATCTCAAAGAAGTTGGGGCCCCCATTTATAAAAATTAAATCATACATAAAAATAGAACAAAAATCCTAAATCATGCCTACTAAAAACTTATTCAAATTCCTATTGTACCATATAGTTGTATTAAATACATATAATCTATACATTATACACTTAATGTCTGCTCCCGAGGGAAATAGTTAGTTTTGTTTTCCCGAGAATCTCAATGTTTCCCGAGACAAAAGTCGAGGGAAACATTAAGATTCGAGGGAAAACAAAACTAACTATTTTCCGAGGGAACAGGCATTAAGTGTTTTGTTATATAGCGACGAACAAAAATCAACTTCAACAACATTCATACAAGAATTGTATTTCGTGACAAAAACTCTATAGTGTAAACGAGTTTAAAATTAAAAGAACCTACTTAAACGGTTTCAGCAGCATATCCTGTTGCCTGTTGTGTATTTTTCTTTTCTTTTATATTCTTTATTTTAACACAAACTGGAAAATCGTAGTTTCTAATTATCTGAGTTGTGCCTCCATTTTGTTTATTTATGTACGTGGCCGGTCGGGGCGGGAAACAATTTTTCACTTGTTGCCCAGCGGGAAACATTGCATTTATCTGAAGTCACATGACCAAAAATCAGCCAATCACGTTTGGTGTTCACGCTAGCTATATAACAATATACATTATTATATCTCAAAGCAGTTGGGGCCCCCTTTATAAAAATGAAATCATAAATAAAAATAGAACAAAAATCCTAAATCATGCCTGCTAAAAACTTATTGAAATTCCTATCCTACCATATAGTTGTATTAAATACATATAATCTATATATTATACATCATTATATCTGAAAGCAGTTGGGGCCCCCATTTATAAAAATTAAATCATAAATGAAAATAGAACAAAAATCTTTAAATCATGCCTACTAAAAACTTATTGAAATTCCTATCCTACCATATAGTTGTATTACTGTCGTTCCAATTGAAGTGTTGCTCAAATATTGATTCAATACATTACCTCTGGCTGACCAATTCATTTGATCTAGTTCCTCGAGATATTCATACACTTCCTGTGAAAGATCTAATTCCAAGTATTTGATCATTTCTGGTCACTTCCTTTCTATTTATGATTGGTTAGTTGCACAAACAACAAAGGTGATTGGTGCATTCAAACTATTCAACAGGAAGTTTACAATTATACTAGGAAGTGTATGAATATCTGGAGGAACTTGATGAAATGAATTGGTCAGCGCGAGGTAATGTATTGAATCAATATTTGAGCAACACTTCAATTGGAACGACAGTAAATACATATATCTATATATTATACATCATTATCTCTCAAAGCAGTTGGGGCCCCACCTCATTTATAAAAATTAAATCATAAATGAAAATAGAACCAAAATCTTTAAATCATTAATTAAATCAACTTATTCAAATTGGTAGCAACATGCCAGGTAGTCACGAAAATCATGTTTCATGGTATGTTTATGCCGCATTTTTTTTGCTTTTACAGGTTCTAAATGTGCAGATTGTTACACTCTGCTCAGCCTTACTTCAGTTCTAATCACAGGGAATTCCCATTTTATCGCTAACCTTGCAACATTAATAACACTATATATACTTGTGTAAAAAAAATAAAACAAACATGTAAAACTACTGCATATTTTTATAAAATGGAGAAAAACACTTATACTCCTAAGCCACTTCATCGTAACTGTTCTGGCCACTATGGCCCCTAGATACTTTCTAGATAGACTTTAATATTATTCACTCGTTTTCGCGGTATTTTTCCGTAAACGCATCTCATTAATTTTTACCGGTTTTTCTCTGGCTCGGTTCTCACGCCTGAGTGAGCATTCTTTTTTTACAAAAAGCGAATAAAAGCATCGTTTAAACTTATTCGTCTGTTATACTACTGTTGAAGGGGACAAGGCCTTTCCCGAAGGAACAGAATAGTAAAAAAAGAGTCATTTTTCCGGCGTGTATACATCGAAAAAGACGAACTGACTTCGAAGATATCTTTGTAGCGTGCTCGAAAATCGCTACAAAACGGCTTCAACTACAGAAGGAAACGATTGTTCTACAACGAACAGCTCAATGGCAGATAAAACCACCGTCGACAACCCCGAGGTAGGAACACTAGATACGTTTTTATCGCAAAATACGGCTGAAAATACGGCTGAAAATACGGTAGAAAACACGGGTCAAAACGAAATAAACAGTACTAAACCTGATAAAGCAAGCCCAGAAACGGACGAAAATACTCTGTCTGTCTCGACAAACGACCCATCCTCTCGTCCCAAAAGATCAGTAAAACCCACCGAAAAGTCTATCGAAAACAGAGTTCAGTCTGATCATTCAAAACTTGACAAATTGTGGCGAAACACGTCAACTGCTGTGGGCAAATTGCAAGAAACACCCGATTCGCTAAATCAAATAAAATCTCATACATCAGAAGTACGTTCGCTATTCCACGAGTATCACACCGTTTCTTTGTCGCTCTTAGAGTTTCTCGCTAATCTCAGCGACCCCAAACACCAAAAAGAATACGAAACATTGCAGAAACTCGTAAATAATCGTAGCGAGTACATTCATACAGTAATAAACGAAGCAAACGAGCGGAAAAAGGAACTTTTGCTTGAAATTAACTCTGTCCACCATTCCCGTAGTTCCCGCAGCTCCACAACGTCCTCCACTGCCGCTCGAGCTCTCGCAAGAGCTGAGGCTACAGCGGCACTAAAGAAGGTAGAAATGCAAAAATGGCGATCATTGCGAGAGTCCCAGTCTGCCATGGAAATACAACAACAAGAACTTGCCCTAGCCCAAAAGAAAATGGAAGAGAAATCCCGAATGGAAAGTTTACTATTAGAAGAAGCAGCAGCAGTCGCCGTTGCTAAAGCTCAGGCAATAGATAAAGAACTGAGCCTCGTAGATCATCGAGACCCTGAACACTTTGACCTACCCCAAGACGATCCTGCGGAAAGGGTCCAAAACTATATAAATTCACAACGCTTCGAAGAATCTAACATTGCCCAAGACCCTAGTCCCCCGGTTCCTAATCATGTCATCGGTCCACAACTCCCACAGAATGCCAACCACCCTATACAAGAAGAACCACCCAACCGAAGACTAGACCCGACGACCAACTCGTTTATCCCTCAACCTCACAATTCTCGGACAGACTCTAGTACAAATGCTATAAGCTCTTACATCCAATTCATGGCACGCAGAGAGCTCATCGCTAATAAGATTCAGAGATTTGACGATAATCCCACAAATTTTTACGGTTGGAAAGAATCCTTCAAGAATATGATACGAGACATTCACATCTCCCCTAGCGAAGAGCTATCACTCATCATAGAGTATACCAGCAACGAATCAAAGAAACTTGCTCAACGGCTTCGAAACGCATATATCAACAAACCCACTGAAGGCGTGGAGATACTATGGCAAAAACTTAGCCAGCGGTTTGGTTCCAACGCGGTTATAACTGAAGTACATTTGAACAAACTGAAAGATCTGCCGAAAATCGGATTTAGAGATAACAAGAAACTCCAAGAACTCGGAGATTTGCTCTTAGAATTACAGTGTGCTAAGAACGACGGCGGATACAGAGGCCTCATAATCCTCGACGAGCCCGCTTACATTAAACCTGTCATTGCGAAGCTCCCTGGCGATATCCAAAGCAGATGGCAAAAGCACGCCTTTCGATATAAGAAACAACACGCCGAGGTGGACTAACCCCCATTTTCCGAGTTCGTCACCTTCATCCAGGAGTTGTCCCTCGAAAGAAACGATCCTAACCTGATCATAGAGATTCCCGAGAAGAAGAACACAGGTATGCGAAACCCGAGCTGGCGACAAGAAATTAGTGTAAAGAAAACTGAGATCGAGGCCCAAGATCGCAGAGTCGGACACGATCGCCCACCTCGTAACCCTACGAACTGGTGCATTGTCCACCACAAAGGGCACCCATTAAGCAAGTGTAGAGCTTTCCAAGCCAAGCCACTCGATGAAAGAACTACAATACAAAGAAAGAACAGAGTATGCTTTCGCTGTATCGCATCGTGCGATCACCTTGCGAAGGACTGCAAGGCCAAGGTCGTGTGCACCGAATGTGGGAGCAACAAACACCTCGCCGCACTACACGTTGACGGTGAGCAAAGGCACGGCGGGAGCAGGTAGCAAATAAAGACCAATCCGATGATGGCGCTAACCCTCGACAAAACCAGCACGCGGGAGAGATTACAACCAAATGCAACGAAATATGCGGGAATTCCCCCGGTGGGAAATCATGCTCAAAAGTCTGCCTAGCCAACATATACGTCACCGGACATCCAGAAACCAAAGTGAAGGCGTACGTGGTAATCGATGATCAGAGTAACAGTTCTCTAGCAAAATCCGAACTGCTCGATCGCCTAAACGTTCACGGTCAAGCAACCTCGTATTCGCTTAGAACATGCGCCGGAACAACTCAGATTCGAGGAAGATGCAGCAAAGATCTTGTCGTAGAGTCTGTGGACGGTAATAAAAATCATCCGCTGTCGAACGTCATCGAATGTAACGCGATTCCTGATTCTAAAGAAGAGATACCTTCGCCAGAGGTAGCCCGAGCTCACCCACATCTACACGAAATTGTTGACAAAATACCAGAGATCCGTGGCGACGTAGACATCCTACTGCTCATCGGTCGGAACGCCCCTCTACTTCACTTCAAGAGGTTCACGAATCCTGTAACGGACCTAGAAACGCCCCTTGGGCCCAGCGTCTTGATCTAGGATGGGTCATCATCGGCAACGCTTGCCTGGACGGAGCTCACACACCGAAGCCTTCCTGCAACAAAACAAACGTTCTCGAAAGCGGCCGACCATCAATCTTTTCACCCTGCCCTAATCGTTTCCACATCAAAGAATACACATCCACCGTTTCTGCCGTCCCCTGCGACGAAAACAACGATCAAAGGAAAGAGACATTCGAAAACGGAAACTTTGACGATGGCCTAGCAGCCAAAGTGTTCGCAAGCTCGAAGGACGACAACAAACCTGGTCCCTCCGTGGAAGACAGGAGATTTGTCAACATAATGGAACATCAAATGGTCAAAAACGAAGCAGGGAACTGGGAGGCGCCACTTCCATTTCGCAACCCGATATCAAGACTACCAGACAACCGCGAAGACACTCGTAAGCGTTTTAACTCCACAAGGCGGACTCTCGAAAGGAAACCGGAAATGAAAAGAGACTATTTTGAGTTTATGCAAAAGCTCTTCGACAATGGTCATGCGGAGCCCGTTCCCGAGAGTGACATAGCTTCGAAAGGACCACGGTGGTACCTTCCCCACTTCGGCGTGTATCACCCCCGAAAGCCTGATAAAATACGGGTAGTCTTCGATTCAGCAGCCGAAACCAACGGAGTGTCACTAAATAAGCTACTTGACGAACAGTCTCGTAGGTATTCTCTTGCGCTTTCGCTGCAACACCGTCGCGTTCATGACGGACATCGAACAAATGTTCCACTCCTTTATGGTTCGTCAAGACCATCGAGATTATCTTCGCTTTTTCTGGCATAAAGACAACAACCCCGAAGAAGAAGTGATCGAATACCGTATGAAGGTGCACTTGTTCGGTAACACTTCCTCGCCAGCTATTGCAACATGCGCTCTTAGAAAGACAGCTCTCGTAGGAGAACCCAAGTACGGACCGGACGCAAGAGAGTTCGTAGAGAAAGACTTTTACGTAGACAACGGCCTAAAGTCCATTCCCGATCGCGATGGAGCCGTCGACCTGTTATGCAGAACCAAAACCATGTTAGCCGACGCCAATCTGCGCCTCCACAAAATCGCGTCCAAAGACCCTACGGTAACACAGGCCTTTCCCATCGAAGACCGAGCTTCCGACCTACGCAATCTGGACCTTCACCGCGACGTAGTACCGATTCAGCGCTCGTTGGGTGTATTTTGGGACCTACAAGCAGACACCTTTACCTTTCAGGTCGTCGACGGAGCCAAACCCTTTACAAGACGTGGCGTTCTTTCTGTCACCAACAGCCTTTACGATCCTCTCGGAATCGCTGCCCCGGTCGTCATCAAAGCCAAAATCCTGCTGCGAGCTATGACAACAAGCCTGAAACGCCACCCACTTGACGACTGGGACCAACCGCTCCCTGAGCAATATAAAGCATCCTGGGAAGCTTGGTGCAAATCCCTCTCAGACCTAACCGAAGTCAGAGTCCCACGTAACCTACGCAAGCGAGTCACTATCTGAAGCAAGCCGTGTAGAAATCCACACATTTTGCGACGCCTCCACCGAAGCCATTGCTGCTGTCTCATACATCAAAGTCGTCCTGAAAGACGGTCAAGCCCAAGTATCATTCGTGTTCGGCAAAGCTAAGCTGGCTCCGTCACACGCCACAACGATTCCCCGTTTAGAGCTTTGTGCCGCAGTGCTCGGCGTAGAAATTACGGTGCTGGTTATCGAAGAGTTAGCAGTAAAACCACACTCCGTAACCTATTACACGGACAGTAAAGTCACACTAGGATACATTCTTAGCGAAACGCGACGGTTCTACGTGTACGTCAGCAACCGCGTTCAAAGAATACGAAGGTTGTCGTCGCCAGATCAGTGGAGATACGTGGCAACTGACCTCAACCCAGCAGATCTAGCTGCTCGATCGGTGAAAGCCTGCGACCTCAAAGACTCGTCTTGGTTGGCCGGCCCGAAGTTCCTCCAAAGCACAAGTTCCCTCGACGTTCCACCGGAGACCGAGACCTTCCAACCCCCGCAAGAAGACCCAGAACTTCGTCCCGAAATCACAACCCTCGCCACGAACACAAAGCCCGGAGTTCAGAAAAACCTTGGAACTGATCGCTTTCTACGCTTCTCGCGGTGAGCAAACTTAGTTAACGCCGTATCAAAACTAGTGATGGTCGCTCAGCATCACCACCATGCCAAAGCGTCAGTCGGCAACGAAACTACGGTAATCCAGGCACGAAAACGTGCACAGTTGTTGATCGTAAGGAACCTACAGATCGAAGCGTTTGAGGAAGAATTCGATTCCTTTGAAAAGAAAAAAGGACTGTCAAAAACATCACCACTGTTAAAACTCAACCCAATAATCGACTCCGACGGTCTCCTACGCATTGATGGTCGTCTTAAACAAGCTGACCTTCCGTACGAAGAACGTCACCCCCTCATTCTACCCGGGAAACACCACGTGACAAGTCTAATCGTTAACAACTGCCACGAAGAAGCGAAACACCAGGGTCGTCATTTCACCCACGGCATGGTCAGATCAAAAGGATTCTGGATCGTCGGCGGAAAACGCCTCGTCAATCGCGTTATCCATCAGTGCCTGAAATGCAAGAAACTCCGAGGCAAGCTTCATCAGCAGAAGATGGCAGACCTCCCATCAGAACGCATCACTCCATCAGCTCCTTTCACCTTCGTCGGACTGGACGTTTTCGGTCCATGGGAAGTCACAGCTCGTCGTACTAGAGGAGGACACGCTTACAGTAAACGATGGGCAGTAATCTTTACTTGCCTTTCAACGCGAGCTATTCATATCGAATTAATCGAGAGTATGGACGCTTCTAGTTTCATAAGGATGAAATAAGAGGATCGTGCTTGTTAAAGATAACAAGGAACAAAGTCTCGCCGAGAAATTTAAAACTTTAGCCACATTGATCGAAGGCGAATTCAAAGGTCATAGCGACGAGCAACACGCGGAAGCCGAAGATACATTGGGTATGGACAAAACTGTTGAGAATGTATCGACTAAAAAGACATCTATACCTACACATGCCACAGAATACCGGGAAGACGTAGATAATTCAGAAATCGAGATGAAATCGACTAAATACGGTTGCGATTCTGGTAAAATTATAAATTCACAATGCCACTGCAGTGAGTTAGCGGTTCAATTCAAGCGTATCGAAGGTCACTTAAAACTATTGAAAAATCGAATTGAAGTTCGCGAAGCTGATGAAATTGCTTTGATATGTAGGACTGCCACATGCCGAAGCGAAAAGAGTTATCTAAAAAGTGAGTTAGAAGTGGCCAATTCTAAAATAATAGATCTCCAAGCGAAAATCAAACATCTCGAAAATGAAAAATCTAGCTTGACAACGGCAATAAGAATAATACAGGAAGACACTGATACTGAGGATGATCAAGGGGGAAACCAGTGGGTCGAACCAAACAAAAAGAAAAAGAAACGTAAACGCGATCAGACTCAGAAACTACAAGAAATGCCGACAATTGCTACGCATGAAAATTGTCCTCTCGAGACAACCTGTGCTGACGAGTCAAATGCTACTGTTAAAAAAAATGTAATCATCTCGAGCAGGCAAGGGAGAAAAGATGGATATCCGAACACTCGAGGAAATCATCAAAATCCCGTTAAAGTAATAATAGCAGGCGATTCCATGATAAAGCACATCAATGGATACAAGATGTCGAAGTCTAACACAAGAGTTCAAGTCTCGTCGACCTTCCCTGGATGTACCACACTAGACCTGGATGACTATGTTAAGCCAGTATTAAGAAAAAAACCTGACAAATTGATTCTACACGTCGGGACAAATAGCCTAAAGGGTCGTGAGAATTCCACTCATTGCGCAGAAGAAATTATATCATTGGGAGAAAAAATAAAGAGATCAATCCCGGAGACGGAACTAGTCGTGTCTGGCCTTGTCACGCGTTCAGATGACGAAATGCTAACACGTAAAGTGAATGAAGTCAACGCAGCGCTGAAGGAATCTTGTGAGTTGAAGGCGAGCAGGGTGTCACCAATATTTAAGAGTGGTGCTAAAACTGACCCAAGTAACTATCGGCCTATATCCGTTATTCCAGTGGTTGCAAAAATTTTTGAAAAAATCATTTTTGATCAATTATATGAATATCTTAATACGAATAAGCTGTTAAGTCCCTGTCAATCTGGATTCCGATCAATGCATAGCACTTTAACGGCACTAATTGAGGCTACTATAATATTGACAATGGACTGGTAAATGGAGTTGTTTTTATTGATTTAAAGAAAGCTTTCGATACGATTGATCACGACATTATGTTGCTAAAACTTGAAAATTATGGAGTTGAGCGAAATAGCCTAACTTGGTTTAAATCGTATCTCACCGATAGAAATAAAAAATGTCTGGTCAATGTTCAATTGTCAAACTCCGTCCCAATAACCTGTGGCGTTCCTCAGGGAAGCAATTTGGGGCCACTACTTTTTCTTGTCTATATTAATGATTTACCAAACTGCCTCAATCATACAACACCCAGAATGTTTGCAGATGATACGAGCGTCAGTTATGCCTCAAATTCTGTTGAAGAACTGGAAAATATCATAAACTCTGACCTCAAAAATCTCAATAGTTGGCTTACAACCAATAAATTAAGCTTAAATATCGTAAAAACAGAGTTTATGATTATTGGTTCTCGCCAGAAAATAAGAGTTATAGATGGGGAAATGAATATTAAGATAAATGATAATAAAATAAATAGGGTTGATTTCGTCAAATCCTTAGGGCTACACATTGACGAACACCTTTCTTGGTCAGTACATATTCGCAAATTATGTAAAAAAATTGCTTCAGCTATAGGCGCTTTAAAACGCATTAGACCGTTTATTACCATGAACACTGCTATTCAAGTTTACCAATCTTTAATTCAACCTCATTTTGACTACTGTTGCTCGGTCTGGGACGGTCTTGGTGAAACATTAAGCTGTAAAATACAGAAATTGCAGAACCGAGCGGTAAGGGTCATTACGAGGTCTAGCTACGATACCAGTGCAAGCACCCTATTAAATACTTTACACTTAGATCGCCTTTTCTTAAGACGCAAAAAGCTTAAGGCTGGCCTAATCTTTAAGACTCTCAAAGGGAAAGTACCGTCATATCTACAAGACTTTTTTCAGTTCGTGACACAGGGTACAATTTAAGAAATTCTGAGACAAGATTAAATTTGCCCAAGCCACGAACAAATTACTTAAAACGAAGCTTTTGTTATAGTGGTGCCTACTTGTGGAACAGTCTTCCTCAAGATATACGAAAGCTTCAAACATTTCCACAATTTAAGAAAGCTGTAGATAAGTATTATAATAATTCAAGTGAATTCCCACACGGCACTCTTGTAAACCAGTAGTAGATAATTTTTAGATTTTTTTTATAATTGATGTGTGTATGTAATTTATAACTGTCTTCTTACGCTTATAATAGTTAGATTATCCATGTACTGAAGATTTTACCGTGTTTAAATAAATTTGTATTGCTTGATTGATTGATTGATTGATTGATTGATTGATTGATCGAAGATGTTCATGTAAACAAATATGGCGTCTCAATTGACTCGACACCGTAAGAAAACAATTTTTTGTATACTAATGATGATAATTGATGATCATCCTTCGGTTACAATTGAAAGGAAAACTTGGGCTCGAAACTGGCTTTTAAGACGGACTGAACTGGCCGCATATCATACAATTTTTCGTGAATTATCTGTAGAAGATACAGCAGGGTTCAGCGAATTTATGAGGATGCCATACTCTAAATTTACTGAATTGGTCGAACTAATAAGCCCTATAATAGCAAGGTGTGATACTATTATGAGGGAAGCTATTTCACCAGGTGAGCGATTAGCGATATGCATAAGGTATTTGGCTACAGGCGAGACATTCCGTTCGTTATCGTTTCAGTTTCGAATTGGAAGGACAACTATATCTGAAATTGTCCTAGACGTCTGCACAGCTATTTTTAATGAACTGGGAAAATCCCACTTGCAAACCCCAAACAGTACTGAAAAATGGAAGGAAATCGCTGGATTATTTTTATCAAGGTGGAATTTACCAAACAATATTGGGGCAATTGATGGCAAGCGTATTTTGATTCAAAAACCAGCACATTCAGGATCACACTTTCACGATTACAAAAGTAATGAAAGTATTATTGCGCTAGTTGTTGCCGGGCCTAACTAAGAGTGCCGGATGCACTGCGGATGTTGGGACAAATGGTAGAAATCCAGATGGGCATGCTTGGAGTAGATGCACATTAAAGAAAGCTCTGGACACTGCAACAAATCCCTTAAATTTACCAGCTCCATGTACACTTCCTGGGCGGTCAGTTCCTGTCCCATTTGTTCTTACAGGAGATGAAGCATTTCCATTGACAACTTATTTATTAAAGCCTTATCCAAATAAAAATCTCACAGTAGAGCAAAGGATTACCAACTACCGCATTTCAAGAGGCAGAAGAATATCTGAAAATATTTTAGGTATTTTGGGAAATAGGTGGCGCTGCTTTCGTGTTCCATTTTTATTGGAACCAGAAAAGGTAAAGAAAATAACATTGGCCATCCTTGTTTTGCATAACTGGCTAAGAGCTGATGCCGGAAGCAGAGCTGTCTACTGTCCTTCGACCCTTATAGACAATGAGAATTGTGACACCGGAGAAATTATTAAAGGAACTTGGAGAGCAGATACCACCTCAGAATCATTTTTAGATTTACAACCAACTATTTCCAGAAATAGCACAAGTAAAGCTAAACAGATGAGAGAGGAGTTCAATGTATGGTTCAATAATAAGGGAGATCTGCCATGGCAAAGACAAAATTGTGGATTGTAATTTTAGTGTTAATTTAATTTCATGCTGAACTGTTAGTTTTGATATTCCTACATGGCATAGGGTAAAGGTAAATGTGGATATGAGCATATCAGTCAATAGATGGATCATATTATAATATTAACTACTATATACTTTCCAGGATATAAACATTTTCAAAATGTTTATGTAACTTGTTCAAAAATTATATTTGCTTAACTGATATTTTAATTAATTAAGTTTAGTTAGTTTAATCAAAAACTTTTTTGAAAATAATTATTTTGAAACAAATGATAGCGATATTACATTTATTAAATGACGTTTCGATGCTACAGCATGCATCATTTTCAAGTTATAGTTCGTTCAAAACTTTATACTTTGTCCCATAATTAATGGGCTTTATGTTTGTTTTGTTTAGTATGTTTTTTTGTTTGTTTTCTTGTGTGTGCATGTTAGATACATTTATGAAAGACAGAAATATGTTTAATCTGTTTTAATAGGCCTATGTTTTCTTTTAAATGTAATTTATATAATTTATTACGTCATATAAATTTAAATTTTGCATGCTTACGCAATAATTTGCTAACGTGACACGAACGGTTTAATTAAAATCAACGCAATATATGTAATTACTATAACTTGAAAATGATGCACGATGTAGCATCGAAACGTCGTTTAATAAATGTAATATCGCTGTCATTTGTTTCAAAATTAGTAATACAAAATGACTGAAAAATGGCAAACTTCGCAAGACTATCTTATCCACATTTTACAACATTTCGCAACGAAACTTTGGAATATTACTAATTTTGTGATGCTCTTTCAAGCTGTTATGAAATTTTTGTCTAGATCAAAATTTAGTCTATAATGCAAATGGTCCATTAGATCAATTATAATACGAAGATGGCGGACTGCATACTGTTTTAATTCAGGTCAAAATATGTTGAAAAGCAAGCAAGGTAGGAAAATGTTGTAATAAAAGGTCTTCATACATAACTTTAAAAGTTCTTTCCGATAAGACAATCTTAATTTTTATTCCATATCCCTGTAAGGATAGATTTATCAGTTCTAAACTGTTGTCTCTACAGACCTATAGGAGGGGGTATTCCTCAGTGATTCGGTATCACTATAGTTGAAAATCGAAACTATAACAACTTTATTTCATCTGCCAAACGTGCTGATATATTTTTTATGATAGCCAATCCGTCGTCTGTATACCGGCCGATGAACTTTTTCCCTAGATTTTTTAGAATGAAAAGGCCTACAAGTTCATAAATGTCAGCTCTGTCGTAGCTTCCAATGGTAACGTCAAATAAACCACTGACGAACGTTAGACTTCCCTAATGCTTCCCTTTCCCAGAGGTACATTGCCGTGCGGAATTAGTGCCGCTGACTCGGGATTTTATCACATTTTATCCCCGAGCCGGCGGCGCGAAGCGCCGTGTGAGGGTACTAATTGCGCACGGCTAATTAAACCCGGGTATGTGAAAACATAGCGGAATGCAAAGTTGTCCTCCATTTTGTTGATGTCATGGACGGTTTTCGACGCTATGCGCATGCGCGAGTACAAACTCTGTCTAAGTAATTGTTTTTCATTTTGAAAGGACGTATTTTGAACGTATTTTGCTGTTTTACGGCAATTTTTTGTTTTAAATTTCGTTAAAAAGTGTACAAAAGTGCAACACGGGTTTTTTTTTCTCGTTTTAACTGGAAATAAACCTGCAGTTTCATGAATTAGTGGCTGTTCAACCGTGAAACAAAGTTTGTATAATATTTTGTTTTGATGTTTTGATGTTAATGTCTTTGATAATTTAATCGTTGTTGTGCCGGTTTGGGTAAGTGTAAACATTTCAGTTGTAAAATTGAAAAATTCCATGTCGTACTTGCTTTGTGTTGTTGGTTTTATTCATATCTGCGAGATTTTTAAGCCATTCTTAACTCGATAATTCACTTTAATGCAAGCTGGTATGCATGAAATTGCAGTGAATGTTAATGTCGTTCATTATATAAAAGCTGGCGCATCAGTTGTGTTTTTATGTTTGTTTATAATGGTCTTAATACTTTATGTGGAGTTTTTATACTTCATCTGTTAAGAAAGGCGAGGGGTTGCTGCATGCATGTATTTTCTAGTCGTGCTTTTATCACAAAGTAAACAATTTTTTCACTTTCACAAAATTTGACCTCCGTCGTAGCTGCCCATGACGCTTAAGTCAAATAAACTATCGATGAACGTTAAACTTCGCCCGCTAACTCGCAGACACGCAACTAGCAAAATATCCGACTCCCTTAGACCATGCAGAGGCAGGAGTCGGTTCTACCTTTCCGTCATTAGGGTGCGGGCGCTCCATAACCATGCAACCACAGATTCATGCATATCAGTGCAGCGGTTGATATTAGTAGTGTGTATATGGGTAAATATCCAGATTTTGGGCCCTCCTTAGATCCCAAACGAACGAGTTCAAACGAACGAAATGCTAAAAACTTTATGTTTACTTATATTTGCTTCATTTTATCCACATGCAAGAATCTGTCGTTAATCCTCAGCAACTGGACACTGTAGCTCAGTTGCATGGTTCAGAGCGCGGCACCAGAATCGCAGAACCGCAGGTTCGTAGAATATCATAGCAATAATGATAGCGCAATGAATTGTTAAACCATTACCAATATAATTATTTAATCATTTAACAGCAACCTATCGTTTGCACCAATTGAATGGTATGTATGGTGTAAACAGTTTCAGATGTTATGCACTCTCCAGGGCATCGTGTAGGTCTTAGGTAAGCACGTTAAACTTCATGCGTGCAACTCCGCATGGATGATATAAGTCTGTGAAAGCCTAGAATCTGATTGAATTGTTGATGCAAATCTATACTCCTCCGTGAACCCGTGAGGTATACAATTCTGGAGTAACAAATTATATCCAGGAAGATGTAGATGCATGCTGATGAATTTGTTACAAATCGTGATACTAATAGACTAGAAGCGATAATGAGATCGCCCACTCATGTGGGGCAGCCTACGGCCCAGGATGCATCATTAGTATCCATTAACAATATTTTCAGGAAATATATCTTGTGTCTGTCTCGACTTGACATAGATGCATCGATGACAGTAATTAAGGTAGTGAACAATATTGGATGTGGGCCGCAACAAAACCTTCCCCATGTACACCCGATAAAATCTATGCATTGCTGTTGTATGAAGAAATCGGAAAAAACGGACAAGATAAATATTTTTTGCACAAATGTAATTTATTTTGCATTATCATGGATAATAAAATAAATGGATAGGAAACTAGCTGACGTTATCTAATGTTTTCTGATGATGGCGTGGTTGGATGTTGAAACCTAGTTGCAAACCAAATTCTCAAAAACGGCATGTTTAGCAATAATACAGCTAAACATTTTAGTCAAAGGGCAAATAAATATGACTACCCCATTCTACGATGAAATCTCTAAGTATTCCCAGTCAATTTTGGCAAATATTTCAAGCACTAAACAGTGAAAAATGCATCGCAAATTTCGTTTAAATTAGGGACGCCAATTTCGTAGCTACAAATGTAAAAAAAAATACAAAACAAAGACGAGAAACATTTACCTTGAATACTTTGTCGTGGCTTAGGCATGTTTTTAAAACAATTAGACCAGTTTATGCTTCAATATTACTCTTTTAAAGCGGAAAGTATAGCGAAACAACATAAATACCGAGAACGTTGCAATACGCGTGACGTCACAGATTGCAACCAGGTTGTTTTTGCTTACGTCAGCTAGAGTCCTATCCATTTATTTTATAATCCGTAGTATTATTAACACCAGTTTATACCCAATTTCTATTTGTCTAAAAGTGTTAAGTGCACAAGGTCATTTTAAATCAATATTTTATTACGTAATCGACAACAGTTTTTTCTTCGACTATTCCGTTTCTTTAAATTCCTTTTAGTTTCATCGTTGCCTTTTTCATGGAGTAATAAAGAGTTTTCCAGTACCTCCAAATTATGCCATCAGCGTACGAACTGTGGTTGCCATGAAAATAGAAACCATTTAAATTGGAAGAGTGACAGTCGTTATACCACCATGCTCCGAGGAACGTTCGAGCACAATTTCCATTCTTGCGATTGTCATGATCAGCATCCTTCGTTGTGAACTTCGTACCATTTTGATAGTACAAGGAGTCACCAGCGGTACCTATATCAAATTGGTGAAAATACGTCACGTTTTTTTACGGATACAAAACACGTGAAAATTTCTTCCAAGTGACGTGATTGTCTGAAATGGAAACTTCTAATTGCTCAGACTTGCTGAGTCACTGAGTACATGTTAGGAGAATTTCGAGGTCGATCTTTTGAGTAAAATTGCTTACTATGTAATATCGTCTACTTATATTATAAAAGAAATAGAAAAACTTGTCTCGTGCGTTCTTCTCACGTGCAAATGTGATAATTCTATAGTGGAATTGCCAATTACGAAGGAGCAACCTCAATCTGATTTTCGGAATTATTTCTGTACACATGCATTCAAGGAATTTATAAATAGATTTATTCTTACCTGAGTAATCACCAACATTCAAAATGTAAAGCTCGCTTTCATTTCCCACAGAAAATGATTCATAAACTGCATAAGCTGTCTCCTTCTCAAAGCTTTCGAGATCAACTCTTAGTACATTCTGTCCACTGGCTGATAGGCGATGAATCTTGTCCAACCCGAGCCAAAATTCACCAGACAAATTGCCAAATCCAGTTTTGTAGTCAGTCCAATTTCTGTAAAAGTCCACAGAGCCATCTACACGTCTTTGGAATACAGTCCAACCCCTCCCTGGAGTGGTTTCCATATCACAACGAACAAGAAAAGCTCCATGGCCGTCCGAGTCGATTGTATATACCCCAGTGGTTGTCTTGCCTGATTTGTACAGGTCATCACAACTTTTCGCTAAAGTAAATTAATAAATCTTTACTGAACTCAACCTAAACTTAACCTAACCTCAACCTGACCTCCGCCTAACCTCAACCTAACCTCAGCCTGACCTCAGCATAACCTCAGCATAACCTCAACCTAACCTCAACCTAAACTCAACCTAACTACAACCTAACCTCAAGGTAACCTCAAGGTAACCTCAACTTAACCTCAGTCTAACTTCAACCTAACCTCAACCTAACCTTAACCTAACCACAACCTGACCTCAACCTAACCTCAACCTAACCTCAGCGGCCTAACTTCAACCTATTCTCAAATTGTTAACCTCAACCTAACCTCATTGGCACTTCAACACATCAACCTTATATAACCTATAACCTCAAGCGCACTTCAACACATCAACCTTGTATAACCTAACCTCAAGCGTACCTCAACATAACCTTAATCTGGCTTCACACAATTACTCTGTATACATGTTTGTTAAGATAAATTTGGTTCAAGTCACCTTACCATATTTTACCGGTGTTTGTTTTTCTATTTTCTGCAAATGAAAAACAAATTTAGTTTTTGAGATGTTGTATGTTATATCAGGTAATATAACAATCTTATAATTATAAATTCCGGTTTCATTTTAAGACACGTTTACACTTTAGCGAAAGTTCCGGATTCGTTAAAGCATGGACCGCGGAGCCTGTTTAAATGGAGGAGGGATTGCACGGAAGTTATTCCACGCAGGCAGGTTGAATTTTATCAGGTAACTTCTTTTTTTTTGTCCACCGAAAATTCGAAAAAGTCTTGGGGGTGCTCCTCCAGTTCCCCCTGTTTCGCGGTTCCTGTAAGGCATCCGGATTCATTGTTTTTCAGGCATACGCATTAACTTGACATAGCAATGGTCAATATTAAGTATAATTTTAACCCTCTTAGTGATATTATGCGATGTTTTGACCAAGTTTGGAGGTTGAATTTAATAGCAATAAATTTGAAAAAATACAGCGGAACGAATTGATTCGGATTATTGACGGAAAGTCGTTTCACGATTCAAATGTTTCCGGATACGAATTTCCCACAAACTTTTCTGGATTCAAAGTTTCCGGACACGGCACGAAGCCGAGAATTAAGATTTACTATCGGATTCGTTGCTGCGTGTGTGAATGGCAACATGAATGAGGAATCTAGTGTAAACGGGTTTTAGTCTAATGCTAATACTTATTCAGTCACTGTTCGATGGAAATTATCTATAAAAATACCTTTTTCAGAGCAAGAAGTTCATAATTATCGTAGTTTTTATCAGCCAGTAAATTCTGAGGATGACTTGTTTTCGTAGCGTTGATGAGTTGACAGTTTTTCGAATGAGTTTGATGTTTTGTTGCTTTGAAGTTGATTGATTTACAGTCAGAAGATTTTCTTAGACAATATAGACAGCATTCCACGAGATAAGTATTAAGTTCACTGATTACATGACCAGTTAAGCGTCGACCTGCCAGAATTCGATGAAAATATGACATATATACATGAACTATATATACTATATATAATTTGTATTGAATTTCGTAAAGAGAAAGAATTTTCGGAATCTATATTACATACATAGTGTCCAAAATACTGCCTCTAAATTCATTTTTAAGATGGTTTTAACTGAAGTCTCAAATTTTTATATTAAATCAATTGAATAAATATGTGAATATTAGCACTAAAAAAGGGATTTTTAAAGAGAATTCCTAGTATATATAGGCATGGTTATCTTCTCTAGAAAAAGACGTATATTCTCATTTAATAAAGTCTTATTTCATGTCAAAATTAGCAGAAAGGACGCACAAACCCTCCCAGCAAGGGGGAAACGCCCGAAAATTGCTGTTTTGTTCAGCACAGTATGTACAGTACAATTTTATTTAAACACAGTAAATAATCTAAGAATATAAAATAAATAAATAAAAGTTACTGAAAAGATGTTAAAGATCTACAAATGATATTTCGCTCGCTACTCTGGTTTAAATAAATGATTACAAAGCCCAGTCGAATTGTCATCAAGACCCAACGTTTCGACACTCCAGTCTAGTGTCTTCATCAGGGGTGATCTAAAATTGCAATCGTGGCTTCTTAAATACCCAAGGGATGACGTCACCTGCCAATGAGATGCATATATTCCTCTGCCAAATAGGCACCGTCATCCCTATTCAGAGCATGATTACTCATATTTATATGCCACGCTTCTAGGCAAAATCTTTGACCATAGCGATTGTTTGTGGTAATTACTTTAGAGTTTTCCCACGTAATCTTGTGTTTGGTGTAACATACATGTTCGGCTAAAGCTGATTTTCCCTTGTCTAAAGTCGAAACGGCCTTTTGATGTTCTTCTAGCCGTGTACCAAACTGGCGTTTAGATTGACCCAAATACTCTTCCTCGCAGTCACCGCATGGTATAGAATATACAGCATGAGTTTTCTGATTTGTTTTGACAGGATCTTTTGGCTTTGCGAAAGTATGGCCTAAAGTCAAATAGGGTTTTAAGGCAAACTTAATATTACAATTACTTAAGATTCTCTTGATTGGTTCTGTGACACCTTGAATGTATGGAACTATTGCAAAACCCTTAACAGAGGTATCACCCTCGGAGTTATTTTGATTCCTACAAACAGGTGATCTCAGGCAATCATCAAGAAAACGTTTTGGGTAATCGTTTTCCCCTAAAATATTTAGAACATATTCACGTTCATTAGCTTGAGAATCACTGTTTAACGGCAAGGATTCAGCTCTTTGAAGCAAAGTTCTTGCTACCGATCTTTTATGGCTTACTGGGTGATGAGAGTCGTATTACAAGTATTTGTCTGTGTGTGTGGGTTTGCGATAAACATCAGTCTCTAACTTCCCTTCGACAGTTCTGTGCACACTCAAATCTAAAAAAGCTAAATGTCCATTTATCTCACGTTCTACCGTGAATTGGATGGACGGCTCAATAGAATTTAAATGTGGCAGCAGAATATCGATTTCATTTCTAGACACCACAGAGATGACATCATCGACGAAACGTTTCCAAAACGATAGAGATACCGAAACAGAGGCTATAAAGCTCATAGTAATGGAAGATGTCGAACAAAGAGCTTTGGCCTCTGTTCCGGTATCTCTATCGTTTTGGAAACGTTTCGTCGATGATGTCATCTCTGCGGTGTCTAGAAATGAAATCTATATTCTGCTGCCACATTTAAATTGTATTGAGCCCTCCATCCAATTCACGGTAGAACGTGAGACAAATGGACTTTTAGCTTTTTTAGATTTGAGTGTGCACAGAACTGTCGAGGGGAAGTTGGAGACTGACGTTTATCGCAAACCCACACACACAGACAAATACTTGTCATACGACTCTCATCACCCAGTAAGCCATAAAAGATCCGTAGCAAGAATTTTGCTTCAAAGAGCTGAATCCTTGCCGTCAAACAGTGATTCTCAAGCTAATGAACGTGAATATGTTCTAAATATTTTAGGGGAAAACGATTACCCAAAACGTTTTCTTAATGATTGCCTGAGATCACCTGTTTGTAGGAACCAAAATAACTCCGAGGATGATACCACTGTTAAGGGTTATGCAATAGTTCCATACATTCAAGGTGTCACAGAACCAATCAAGAGATCTTAAGTAATTGTAATATTAAGGTTGCCTTACAACCCTATTTGACTTTAGGCCATACTTTCGCAAAGCCAAAAGATCCTGTTAAAACAAATCAGAAAAGTCATGCTGTATATTCTACACCATGCGGTGACTGCGAGAAAGAGTATTTGGGTCAATCTAAACGCCAGTTTGGTACACGGCTAAAAGAACATCAAAAGGCTGTTTCAACTTTAGACAAGGAGCATCAGCAGATCAGCTTTAGCAGAACATGTATGTTACACCAAACACGAGATTGCGCAGGAAAACTCTAAAGTAATTACCACAAACAATCGCTATGGTCAAAGACTTTGCCTAGAAGCGTGGCATATAAATATGAGTAATCATGCTTTGAATAGGGATGACGATGCCTATTTGTCAGAGGAATATATGCATCTCATTGGCAGGTGACGTCATCCCTTGGGTATTTAAGAAGCCACGATTGCAATTTTAGATCACCCCTGATGAAGACACTAGACTGGAGTGTCGAAACGTTGGGTCTTGATGACAATTCGACTGGGCTTTGTAATAATTTATTTAAACCAGAGTAGCGAGCGAAACATGATTGATATACCTGGTTGCAGTGAACGAACAAACTTTAGATCTACAAATGGTTTACAAGATTGGCGTCATCGGAGAATCAGTTCAAATTCAGTGTAATATTGCTCATCTATATAGCTTTCTTATATTGTGATAATGAATACAGCTTTCCTATATTTCTTAAAAAGCACTGTTCCGCAATAGCTTGGCTTGGGCAAATTTATTCTTATTTCAGATTTCTTTATTTTATAGCCAGTGCTACGAACAGGAAATAACTCTTGCAGACATGAACGTATATTTCCCTTCAGTGTCTTACAGACTTAACCAGCCTTGAACTTTTTACGACGCAAGTAGAGATTATTCACAATCAAGAAGTATATCCGCACACCAAGGTATCTAACTGTAGTACCGCTCATAATGACCTATACCGGTCGATTCTGCAGCAATTTCTGTATTTCATAACTAATTGTTTGACCAAGACCATTGCTTGCACAGCTCAGCAATTATAACATCTAACGAGTATTAAAGTGTCAATAGCTACGCAATTTTCTTTGATATTTCAGTGTCAATATGTGCTGAACAAATATGATGATACCATGCGTTGCCTAAAGGCCTGTTTAAACGGATCCAACATTGTTGGACCAACATCATCCAACAATGTTACTATACTAGATATGACTGCTTCTCTTTCAAATCTTTTTGGTTAGATAAGCTTTACTCAAACCCTAAACCTAGTCTTGACAAAATATTTGAAAAAGAAGCCGTTTGAGCCATTATTTCAACAATGTTGGATGATGTTGGCCCAACAATGTTGGATCCGTTTAAACAGGGCTTAATACTTGACAGCTAAAGACTTTATCTTATTTGCTATCTTTGATAAAAAAAGAAAATCCATATATAAACTCGATACTCGAGTTACTTGTTTTTGATACACGCGAAACATACCTGACACGGCCAATTTGAACCAAGCATTTGATTGCTCAGAACTACAAGTTTGTGTGTATAGCAGTAACAGATAGATAGAGAGAATCTGACCAAAATTCGCCATTGTCATGCGCGTCCTCATTCACGCTCTATCGCCTTTTCAGTTGTCTAAAATAAATACTTTATTTAGAAGAAGATTTCTTGTGTTAGTTATACATAGCACGTTGTTATGACTGTATATAAAATTCTGATCTTTGATGCATTAAAGCAAGCGTTACTGCAGTATTGGTTTCAGTAAACTTAATTGCTTGTATCACGATCACTCGTTATGAACTTTCTTCAAGTCAAACCAGATATTTCAGGTTAATAGGTTCTAGTCAAGGTATACTACGATTGGAAAACCACTATACACTAACTTAATTACCTGTTGTGTACTGAGGTTTGACCATAGAAATATTAGACCTAGAATGCGTGCTTGGTCACGTGACCGGTGTCCAAATTGAAAACAAAAATGCCCTTATAAATCCGCCATGTTGAATTTGTCCAAGGAGCGGTGTACGCGTTGCGCGCACTGACAACACAGACAACACAAGGCGCCAAAAACAAAATTGTAATACGGAAAAAAAATATAAACTTTTCTTATTTCTGTTATTCTGTGTAATTACTATGTAAAGGCTAAAGATGCCTAATTCTTGTTCTGCTTACAAATGTAAAGAAAGATATAAAAAGGAGGAAAAAGAGAACGCGGAAGTTCAGCAGTCGTTTTTCAGGTGAGTCGGAAAGTCAAAACAATGGTTTCCGTTTTAGCGCTTCCGGCGCTTATGTTCCGCATATATTAATACTACAAAACAATTGCATAAACAAGTTTACATAATTAAAGGATATTTTTAATAGTGTCAATGTTTTATGGAGGTTTTTTTACGAATAAACATCATTCTTCATATTTTTTACTTACTGTTATAGTCACTGTCTTACGTAGAAATACATATAATAGTTGGCAGTGAACGATACGGCAAAGATTGAAGTATTGAACGATTTGGCTATAATATATTATCGTTTCTGTACGCTTTATAAAACAGAATGGTTTCTTCGTTTATAATTTTAACAGGTTTCCTCATCATAATGAAGAACTCCTGAGCGAATGGGTTGCAGCTGTTGGGAGAACCAATTGGTATCCATCAAAAACATCAGTTCTCTGCGGAAACCATTTTCTTGAAAATGATTTTGTGCTGGGTTCCTACTCAGACTCTAGTTTAAAAAAAAAGTTTTTAAAAAAGGGAGCAATTCCAAGTGTTTTCAGCATTCCCGCTCCATCATTGAGTAAAAAAGAGCAAACAACACACGAAATTCCAGCACGAAAACGGCTGGTTGCTAGTGAAATCGACAACAATATCATAGCTCCTAATTCGGCTTCGTCGGCGTCATTTTTTGACACTAGTGGAGAGGTCCCTTCGTGTAAAGTTTTCAAGCCTGCCATGTCGCCCTCTACAAAAATAAAAAAATTACAGCTACTTGTGAAGAAAAAGAACAAAAAAATTAAGCAACTCCAACGAAAAAATTTGCGAAAAGAGAAAACCATTACAGGTCTGATTACTCAGCTAAATAAAAAAAAGTTCTTTCAAAAGAGCTCGGCGAGAAACTCGATAAAAATTTTAGGCATTTAAAATTGTACAAAAATGAGCTAAAAAACCATGCAAGAAAGGCTGGTTCACGTTACAGCCAAGAAATGAAGGAATTTGCAGTATCTTTGCATTTTTATAGTGCAAAAGCTTATAATTTTGTACACAAATCACTCCACTTGCCACATCCGGCTACGCTTAGGTCATGGGCAGCAGATGTTGCTTGTGAACCAGGATTTTTGACGGCTACAATAGATAGTCTTGCCGGGAAATTTGCTTTAGATGGCGAGTCTGAATGTGGCCTGATTTTGGATGAAATGTCCATCCGAAAAGAAACGCTTTGGGACAGAAAAAACAACAAATTTGTTGGGAATATTGATTACGGCAAAACCCAAGGCGAAGATCCTGATAACATCGCCACTAATGTGTTAGTAATTATGGCTGCAGGACTTAAAAAATCTTGGCAAATGCCAATTGGGTATTTTTTAACAAATAAAACTACTAGTGCTACGCAGTCCGAACTAGTATTAGAAGCCATAAAATTACTGTACAACAAAGCAGACATAATTGTTAAATCTGTAACGTTTGATGGGCCAACTAAAAATATTAGCACAGCTAAAAAACTTGGCTGTGACATCAAAAATTTGAAAGGGTCATTTCCTCACCCCTGTCGACCAGATCTAATGGTTTATGTTGTATTAGATATTTGCCACATGATAAAGTTAGCACGAAATGCTTTGGGCAATTTAAAAATCTTCAAAACACCCACAGGAGAAACAATTTCATGGGGTTTTGTTGAAGCTTTGTATGAAATCCAGCAACAAGACATATTGCACCTGGCTAACAAGTTAAAAACAAAGCATACCCAGTGGCACAAGCACAAAATGAAAGTTAGTGTTGCTACCCAAACTTTAAGTGCATCTGTGGCAGCTGCCATAACATTTTTACGAAATATTAAGGTCGAAAATTTCATGGGCAGTAAAGCAACAAGTGATTTCATACTTTTGATGAACAATCTTTTTGATATTTTAAACTCCAAAAGCAAATTTGGAAAGCAGTATAAGGCACCAATTAACCTAGAAAACTATGCAAATATTGAAAAGTATTTACAAGATGGCATTGCAATTTTGAAAACGCTCAAAACTCTGGATGGAGTAGAAGTAGTTAATGGTCCAAGGAAAACCTTTATTCAAGGTTTTGCAATATCAGCAGACTCAATCCTTGCTATCAGTAAAGAGCTTTTGCATAGAGCCAACCTTCCGTATAACTATGTTCTTACATACCGATTTTCACAAGATCCACTCGAAATGTTTTTCAGTAAAATAAGAAGCCGGTTAGGGTGGAATAATAGTCCCAATGCATTGCAATTTAAATATGCATTGAGGTCTTTGCTATTAAGAAACAACATTGAGTGTCCTACAACAGCAAACTGTGTGGCAACTACAGAAGAGCAATCAGACTTACCTGACCAGTCTGACCACCAAGATGCTCAAATTTCTGAGATGTTGCAAACATCAACTGCATGGCGGTATGATGTTCTATTTTACATATCTGGCTACATAGCACGAAAGTTGTTGAAGATTATAAAGTGCCCTGAGTGTGCTGAAACATTATATCAACCAACTGATGTAGCACACGACCATCAATATCACCACAATATTACGCTCCTATCCTGCAAACGTTATGGCAAGTTGTTGGTTCCATCCTTGTCTGTTGTAAAAGTGGTTACAACAACTGATACATTGGCAAGACAAGTTCTTTGTTCCTGGACAACTCTAAGCAAAGATAAAAAAGAGAAGATCTGTTTAGATGTATTAAAAGAAACGAAATTAAACACCTTTCAGGATATTCTCCAGCACTCACAACAAGGTCATGTCCTTGATGACAACTTAAGGGATGATCACATTACTATTTTGATTAAGTATATTGCCAATTTGTATTTACAATTGTTTCTGTACCAGTTTGGAAAGGTTTACACTGAACGCATTGTTAAGGAAAATAAGGCATCAAAGCGACATGCACTCACAAAGCAAATTCTTTTCTATAATGAGTAAAACTTCAGGCAGAGTTCCCAAATTAGGGCTGTGTTTCACAGCA